CCTGCCCTCAAATGATTATCCTCAATCATAGGAATACAATTACCTCATCTATACATCACCCATTCTGCCTTCTTTTTGACTATTAAATGCAACAGCCTTTGTTAGAGAAACGTAGAACAGGAGTCTTATAGCTGCTGAAATGGAGTAAGAAAATGTCTCATTAACTTCTAGCAGCAGCATTTTCAAATACTTTATATGCTTTCTTCCAGTGGTCACCACTTGTTCACCACAAGCAAAATAGACATTACATTACACATCTGCTCCTGGCAGATAATGCATCCAGTACTGCTGGGTTCTTGGGTGGGACTGTTTGCACAGACACTGTGAGCCTTACAGTGACATGCGCTGCATCAAAGGAAGCACCTGGGAGCTCTGTAAGCCCAGAAGCTGTTTGCTGTTGGAACAATTTACTGTCAGGTTCACAAAACCCACCCAAAGCTGAGTGTGGCTCCCAGACATGACCACTCCTGGAGGCAGTGTTACATCTCTGCACTGATTTTGGCACAAACTGAGCAAAGTCTCCTTGGCAGGGCGCTGGGACAGTGGGGGTGGCTGCAGCTGCAGGGTTGGAAAAAGGGCTCTGGTGGGTGCTGACACGCACAGCCTTCAGGTGTGCTGCCACTTCTGATCTCCTCACTGCTAAAACAAAAGATATCTTCTTGATAGAGGATTCTAAGAAGTTTGAAATTAAGTCATTTTTTTTTCTCTGTCTAATTCAGAAAGAAGGAGCTGGTTCTCCAGTACAGATCATAGAGTAGAATCATAGAATCATAGAATCATAGAATCATAGAATCATAGTCACAGAATCACAGAATCACAGAATGGCTGGGTTGCAAAGGCCCACAGTGCTGATCCAGTTCCAACCCCCTGCTGTGTGCAGGTCGCCAACCAGCAGCCCAGGCTGCCCAGAGCCACATCCAGCCTGGCCTTGAATGCCTGCAGGGATGGGGCATCCACAGCCTCCTTGGGCAACCTGTTCCAGTGCCTCACCACCCTCTGGCTGAAAAACTTCCTCCTCATATCCAACCTAAACCTGCCCTGTCTCACTTTAAAACCATTCCCCCTTGTCCTGTCACCATCCACCCTCACAAACAGCCGTTCCCCTCCTGTTTATCCGCTCCCTTCAAGTACTGTAAGGCCACAATGAGATCTCCCTGGAGCCTTCTCTTCTCCAAGCTGAACGAGCCCAGTTCCCTCAGCCTTTCCTGATAGGAGAGCTGCTCCAGCCCTTAAAGCTGTCCAGATCCTCAAGCTGGGCTTGGTCTGTGGCAGCTAGCACTGCTCCAGGCACCTTGGCATGGCTTGGGATTTGGGGCAGGCCAAGGAAGGTCTGAGCAGGTGGTACAGAGATGGCCATGGGTCTTGGAGAGATTTAGGGGCACGGACATTGGCCAACTCATGCTGGGGACAGCCTAAGGCACACTGAGCCTGAGGATGCTGCGGGAATGCTGTGACCCCCTGAACAGAGCAGGCTGTACATCACTGGGTCAGGGGCTGCTCAGGAAGGAGCCACTGCTTTGGGCTCAGGAGCTGGCAGTGGCCTTCTTGTGTAGGCCCCCAAGCACTGCACAAAGCCTATCAGTATGCAGTGAGATGGCCAGGGAGCCCCGGAGTACAGGGAAATAAATTAATTAATTTAAATATAATAATTATTATCAAACTACGGTTAATAATCTATTATTCATAACATTAAATCATTCATAGTATTGACTGACCGTGCTCGTTTTGTTTAAATTGACCTCATTTAGAATAATGTGAGCACAGCTCTGCCTTTCTGGAAGGACGAAGGGAAACCACACACACAGAGCAGGGCGGGGGCCGGGGGGTTGGCAGTGTGTGCACTCCATGGAGCTCTCATGTTCCTGGGCAGGGAATGGGAGCGTGCCAGATTGCAGCTTTGGCAAAAGTGCCGCAGAGAAATTCCATTTGAGAGAAGGAACCAAAGAGAAATGTTGAACTTCTGCTCTGTTTCTTCTTGTCTTCCTCCATTCCCATTGGTAATGATAATAGGACTCATTCTTATTTCTTTGCTTTCATCTGCTCGTAGTGTTTTCCTGGTGCTGTCTCAATTGTTCTTTCTTCAAAGTAAGAAAAAAAAAAAAAAAGGAAATCATTTAAAAGAAAAAAAAAAAAAAAGAAAAAAAGAAAAGATGATGAAAATCCTTGGAGTTATTTCTTTAACTGAACTTTGAAAAGAAAGGAGAGAAATCGCCCTTGAGAAATTGAGGGATTCCATTCATTGCTGGGCTTGAGAAGACTTAAATGGAACACAAACTTTTTGGAGAGGCTGATTTTCCTCCGGAGCTCTGTGTCACCGTGAGCAGCTATTTCACACTGCGTCAGGGGGTGATTGTGTTCATTCTGCATGGAAACAGATGAAGTTTCACGGGGTGGAGCTGAGCTGAACACCGAGCAATTCGCCCCTGGCCCTGGGGAGCCGAGCCCGAGCTGCGTGAGGAAGGAATAACAGCTGCTTTAATTGAAAATGGAAGCGGACACCGTGAGCTGCCCTGTGAGGAGAGCTCTGTGAGCTCCAGACAGGTGGAGTGGTGGCACAGTGCCCAGCAAACATCCTGTCAACACCACAGCCTACGATTCCTTCTGACTGCTGTGGACGTGGTTGACCCCCAAACCAAGAACTCGGCATGCCAAGTGTTCTTTCTGTGCTTCAGCCTTTCTCCTTTTTCTTCCTCCTTTGCTACCATGTTACAAATAGGCAGGAATGCTTTGGTTATTCTGTTGCATCTTGCATAAACATCCAGAGAATCCTAGAATGGCCTGGGTTCAAAGGCCCACAGTGCTCATCCAGTCCCAACCCCCTGCTGTGTGCAGGTCGCCAACCAGCAGCCCAGGCTGCCCAGAGCCACATCCAGCCTGGCCTTGAATGCCTGCAGGGATGGGGCATCCACAGCCTCCTTGGGCAACCTGTTCCAGTGCCTCACCACCCTCTGGCTGAAAAACTTCCTCCTCATATCCAACCTAAACCTGCCCTGACTCACTTTAAAACCATTCCCCCTTGTCCTGTCAACATCCATCCTTGTAAACAGTGCCTCACAATGACTTTACCACAGAGCACAGAGTGATGTGTGACACCAAAGTGTCTGCAGGGCACTGTGGAATACCAGGTGAAGGGACACCTTCCCTCTGCCCTTAGATTGCAGCTGATGTTCCCTGGGAGCAGGCTGGGGGCTGCTGGCTGCAGACTTGTCCCAGGAGAACACATCCCTGTGCTCTCAGCTTCCTTCCTTCTGAAGTGCAATCTCCTACAGTGCAAACCAATCTTTTATTTTTCTTTCTTTCTTTCTTTCTTTTTTCTTTTCCTATTCATTGTGCACTGAAGGTCCCAGATTTGAGGAGCTGCTCTGACTGACTCTCCCAGGTATTTATCAGCACAGGGGCAGAGGCTGACAATGACGACATCAACCCAAAGCTTCAACTGGTGAGAGGGCAGTGAGCCCCAGCAGCCAAGCCCGCGTTAGCCAGTGTTAATGCATTAAACATCAGCCCAGCAGTGGTGTTTGACACTTTTCATAGGTACTTACTTGCACGATTCTGCAACATCAGCAAATCACATTTCAGCAGATGGGTCTTTGAAGCTTGAAAAAAAAAATAAACCAGGAGTGGCACTGCGTAAATCTAAAACACTGAAAAGGGGTCCAGGGAAATAGCAGACCTTGTTTAATGATGAATTTCTAACGAGGTGCATTGAGATCTGGGTGATGAGCACTGCTGTGTGCAGAGGGGAAGGAGGCAGTTTTGCAGCATCTGGTGCTGCCCCACATCAAGGAGCATTTCTGCCCTCAGTGAATGGGCTTCAGCTCAGCAGCAGTCCCAGCTCCTCCATCCTGGTGACCCAGGCTGAGGTTTCCAGCTTTCTCACTCTTCTGTACCAGCTCTCTTTACCATCCTGCTTCCTCCCCACACTGCCATTTTGCTCTCCTCTCCAATTTGCTCTCCTCCCCCTGAGCTGCCCTCCCTGCTGCCCGCCATCCCACAGCATTTTCTTCTTTTGAGCACGCTCCCAGCAGACACAAACCCATCCTTGCCTTCTGCTGGCACGCCTGGCACGAGGAGGACACACACACCACCAGCATGCAAATATCACCACTGAGAACTCCAAATTAAGAACAGCTGCTAAAAATCCTCAAATAAAATGTGATATAGGGTGGCTTTCTCTTTTTTTCCCCAAAGAACATAGTGAGCATTATAATTAGCTTACAAACACATGTAAATAAAAAAGACTGCTGTAATAAGAAGCCTGGATACTTGTGATCATTGCAATAGTAAAAGTTGCTGCTGTGATGAAAATTAATTACATTTGAGTGGTGTTTGTGAGTAGGCCATTTGGTACAGAATAATAGCTAGAGCAAAAGAGCTTTTACAATCCTATTCTTTGTAATGGATTTGTGGGCTCAAATATATGGTTTTTCATCAGAGTTCCACCCAAAATGAAAAGCAATACATAGAGTTAATTAATTACCGGGTCCTGTAATTAACTGCTCCCCAGGTGTTTGACAGCAGACACTGCTCACTTTGCAGCTCTGCACAAGGCAAGAGGAGGACCTGAACTGAGTGAAGCCTGAACAGGGCTGGGAAGGGGCAGCTGTGCCCTGGTCCTCCTGCACAGCCCTGCTCTGCCCCATTCTGCTGCTGTAAGCAAGGAATGATCCTGGCTGGGGCAGTGCTGGGTGCAGGCACATGTTAATTGTTTTAGCCTTGCTTTGTTGTGCAAATGCTTTCCCAGTATTAAAGCTGCTGTCTCCAGCTGCATCAGAAGTCCTGGTGCTTTATGAGCTCAGGCAAGCATCAGCATGGAATTACAGCTGAAGCCTTGATTCTCTTGAGACTGCATTGGATGGATTAAATACACTTCCCAAATACTTTTCTAAAGCTTCAAGGCAGTAGGAAATAAGAAAAAAAAAAAAAAAAAAAAAAAAAAAAAAAAAAAAAAAAAAAAAAAAAAAAAAAAAACCAACAACAAAAAAACAACAAGTTGGACCTCTAAGAACTGTGCCTTTATTTATCAGCTGGAATAAAGCTGATGCATTATGCACTTTAGAGATGCATTAATGTTCATGTTGCGTGTGAGAAGGGAGGGCTGGGAGTGCAGCTCTGCCTGCAGTACCTGGGGGCTGCTGGGCCTGAGGGATGGAGCTGAAGGCTTGGATCCACAGCCCATGCAGCCCATGGAGGGGAACAGGGCTCCATCCTCACATCTCCAAAGCACCCAGCCCCACGCTGCTCCTCTGGAAGTGCTGGGGGTGCTGAAGGAAGATGGGCAAAGTCATTCCCATTAGGCTGAGGAGGTGTCTCAGTGATTTTATGGCTTGGTGCTTTATGAGGGGTGCTGTTCCCCCTGCACCTGGGTGGCCTGGAGCAGAACAGTGCAGCACTGCTCCCAACCCTGCACGTGGCTCATCCTGGCTAAAAAGCAGCACTTGGCTGAGAAGAATGGGGAGGATGTGGGAACTTTCTCTTGCTCTGAAGCTTCATGCTGCTTGCCTTTTCAAAACTCAATTTCTTGCAAAACCAGTAATTCCTGGAGTAAGCCATCAAATTTTAATATTTCTTAAAAGAAAAGACAACTGAAAGAAACACAGAGCTTTCGTGACATGCCTTCAAAGTGAGATTTGGAAAGCTAGCATTGCTGGGAAGGGCATCCCTGGACCCCACAGGACCATGGGTTGCATCCTTCCATGACCGCTCTGCCCATGGATTGCAGCATGCAGCAACAGGGACAGAGCATCACCCACATCTGGTGCCCACACCTGGTGCACACATCGGGTGCCCACACCTTGTGCTCAGTTCTGGTGCCCACATCCAGTACCCATGGCTGCTGCTCACACTGGGTGCCCACATCTGGTGGACTCTGCTGGCCCGTGGCAGCACCTGTCACAGTCTCGCCCTCTCCTGCTCCTCCCAGCCTGGGGATCCTCTCCCATCACCTTCTTACCAGTCAGAAACATCCTGTTTTCACCAACAGAGCTGCAGTTACACGGGATGGGGGCAGACGTCCCTGAGAGGAAGCTCCTGTTCTGCCCCAAGCCCTGAGGCTCACTGCTGGGCCTCTGCTCTGCCCTGCAGCTCCTGAAGCTCCCAGGTGCTGAGCAGCCCCTGTGGGTGGGAGAACTGAAACTGGCGCAGAAGGGTTTCTGGTTACTGAGATACAGAGAAATGTGATGGAATGTGTTGAGTTGGAAGGAACCTTAAAGTCCACCTAGTTCCATGGGCAAGGACACATTCTACTGTTTACTGTTGCCCAGACACAGAATCCCAGAACCAAAGGTGTCCAAAGGGACCTCTGGAGCTCCCCCGGTCTAACCCCCTACTGCTGTCCCCAGAGCAGGGTGCACAGGGCAGTGTCAGGCGGCTTAGATGATCTCCTGCCCCACTCCTTCCAACACGATGGATTTATAACAGAAACAACTTCTGGGTTCTCCTTTCCTTGCAGAAAGACTCAGAGGAGAGCTTTGCTCTGTGCTCACTTCCCAGCTGCTATGTTTTTATACAGGTCCAGGCACAACCCCTGCCACAAGGGCTGCCCCTTCTCAGAGGTGCTTTAAGCTGCCCCATGGAGAGCATCTTACACCTACACAGGAACTGAGCAAACAACATTTTTCTCACATTAGCTCATTCAATTGCATTGCCTTTCATTTTAGTTCCAGGTACTCTAAAGATGTTGGCCTTGGACTGTAAATGCTTGAATGGGTATGAGAGCACTGCTCAGAGGAGGTGAAACAATATCCTTAAATGCTCGTTACAGGGAAAATAAGGATAATATCAGAAGGAATATAAAATAGAGAAGTGATGTGATCTTTGAACGTTTGCAATACAAAATCATCATAACAAGCTAAAAATAATGTGTTTACATTTAGCCAATTAACTCAATCAAATTATTCTTATAGTAAGGCCCTATGGAGGGGCTCACAGTCTGCCAAATATAATGCTAACTGCCCCCAAGGACAGGACTGAGGCACCCATATGGGGGTGTCAGCAGCAGGGAAATTGCCTGTAGGACCACCACCACCTCTCCAGGGCCAGAGGTATCCCAGCAGCAGCACGGCCCAGGAGGAAATCCCAAACTGGTGCTGCTGTTCTGCTGGCTCTGGCCCACCTGGCCACCACGGGTCCTCATTGGCAAGGTTTGCACCACCCCCACCTGCTCATCCTGACCTTTCTGATGTTCAGAGCCACAGAGTGACAGCCTGGGGCTGTCCTGCCAGTGCGGAACAGCGCTTCAGTTTTCTGCATGCAGGGGGCTGCACAGCCCATGTCAGCGTTTGAAGGGAGAAGGTGGGTGATTCATCGTTATAAATCACAGTTAGAAGACACATAATCGTTTGTTATTAAATGAACAGAGGATAAATCAAGCACTGAGCATTAGCCTAAGAAATGCCACAGAAGTGATGGGGCAGGCAGCAGGACAACATGCTCTGCTCCATGGGCAAATGGTGTGTGGCTCATGGGCTGCTGTGCAATGGGGAAAGGGTCTGTGCTCGCACTGTGGCTGCATCATTGGTACAAGAGATGCACTGGGCTGGGTTCAGAGTGCAACACCCCCAGCAGCAACAGCTTATGGGAAGAAGGGAAGTTCTGCACCTTCTGCCACCAAATCAATCATATTTTACAGAAAGTGGAATTGCTGTGACCTCTGCAGTGCTGGGATGGCTGATGGACGGCAGCGCCGGGCTCCAGCAGCACCACCCACAGCGGCTGCCTCTGCCAGCTTTGGGTGGCTCTGCCCTGCACACACACTCAACTGAGGGAGCAGCAAAGTGTTGGTCTCTGCAGGCCTGCCCTGCAGGGGCTGCATCTGGGGAATACGCACGGCTCACAGCCATGGCACGCTGTGCTGGGCTCCTGGATGGTGCTGTGCTGCGCCATGCTGAGCTCCCTGTGCCCCATTACCAGCTGCAATGTCACAGCTGCTGCCAGGAGAGCGGAGTTTCTGCAGTGCTGGTGCACATCTGCACTGTGCTGCTGGGCACAAAGCAGCCTTGCAGACTTCCCTGTCCCACAATAAGTGTGCTGCAGGATGTTCAGTTTATCTGCATCAAGCTTTCATATATTCTGCTACATCCTATCGGAAATCTCATTAATTGGTTACAAATCATTATGATTGAAGCTCATCCGTGGTCTAAAGATCATTCCAAGCTGCTCATTGGTACAGGTGAAGGAGAACAGAGCTGTGAGTGCCAAAATAGACATTTGCATCATTATGGCACTCATTACATATGCAGAAGGCATCCTTGGGACAGCACAGACTCAGCTGCAAAGTGAAGAAGTGGGGGGAGATGGAGAAGCAGTGAGTGCTGTGTGCCCAAGGGGGACTGAGCACAGGAAAAACTTTGTTTAGAGATTAACCACTGTTTTTGTGTTGCTCTTTGGTTTGGTTTTTGTCCTGCTTTTGTCCAGTTCTCTTCCATTTCCATTTGGAAATTCTCTTCAAAGCCCATTCAAAAGAAGGCAGCAGAATGTGGATGCAGCCAACGCTGTGCCATCTCCAGGACGAGAATGCTGCCACCTTTACTGGCTTCAAAGGGAAGGAACTACCAGAAGAAGATAAATCCAAAATGCTGTCAGAAATATTCTTTATTTTTTCACATTTATAATGTTTTCTCTCAGCACAATGCCGGAGAGCTGTTAAACACAAATGTGAAGTTCATAACTTGGTAAAATTTCCAAACATTTTCCTTCTGGAAATATATGAGTGTATACATGGGAAATGTATTTAAATTGAAATAACATTTTCAATCCGGCATGTAATGACTGAAATGACATTTTGAAGAGCTGCAATATGAGTGTCCCAGCAGAAATCACATGCAGGAGAAAAATGAGAGTATTGTAAAACAGCCCCAGCTCAGAAGAAATGGCATCTGTGAAGTTTCCCAGCACCCAAACTTCGGGCACTTTGGAGCTGTACAACTCCATCCTGCTTCTGTTCTCTTTTTTTCCACGCATCTTTCTACAGTGCTGTTTAATTTTCAGTTGCAGAGGTTAGGAGTGCAAGCACAGCACGGTGTCACACCAAATGAAGCAGTAACAGCACCTCCTGCTCCGCACCGCGTCGCTTCTCATAGCACATTTATCACTGCAGTGCCACCGTGCTTCCCGAGCGCACGCCGAGCGACGCAGGCAGTGCTCGTGGTGCTGCTACAAGTTTCCCTCTTCCTCCAGACACAGCACAGAGGAGGAGAAGAAGCAGCAGCGAGCTTACATTCCTGTTGACAGCATTAAGATTAATGCGATCTCTTCGCGGTTAGCAGATGGCGGGAGCATGTCCAGTAGCTGGGACTGAAGCCACGCTTCTCTGCTAGCTGTAAAAGCATTATTATTTTGGTCATGTTGGAAAAATGTTCTTCTGCTTATTTTATCAGAACTGTGCTCGTAAGTCATGAGTGCCCATGTCGTTATCTGCCCACCTGCTGCAGTCCCCACTCGTGCCTCAGGCAAAATGCAATCACAGCTTCTCATGAATAAGGATTTGGGGTCACTGGGTGGCAGTGGCTGCAGGCCCTGCTGAGGCTGTATGGCGGAGCAGCGCAGAGCTTCTGGACCTCAGCAAATGATCCCATTAAAGATCTTCCACTTTGACCATCAACCCACAGGTAAAAATAATAAATTGCTTTAGAATGACCTTTTGACCTCAGATTTGAGGGCTCGGAATGTTTGGCAATATTGTTTGCATCCAGATGAAAAGCTTTGTTCCACCTGTAAGAAATTCACTTTATTTTCCTTTTGGCAAAAGCACAGCAGTGCATTTAGATGGGTAAAGGCATCTCTGAAAAATTCATGTCCCTCCAGAAGCCTCATATCCCCATCATGTCTTCTCCCCGCCTGACCCTGAGGAAAGACATCCACTGCAGGGCATTGCCACGACCTGAGATCAGGAGTTGTTGCCCCAGGAACCTGACTAAAATCTGTTGCTGAATTTCCAGCTCACAAGGAATCAAGGGTTGCTTGCAGGGGCAGGGAGCTCCCGTCACCAAGTGCCAAACTATCTCATGACCTCCAGCCGTGGAACCTGGCTGCTGTGGGCAATGGGCACAGGGAGCTGTGATGATGGTGGGCTGGAGGTCAGGAGACACTCTGATACTTCCATTCAGAGCAAAGCATTAAAGTGCACTGGAGATGCAAAACATTGGCACTGCTGGTCAGAAAAAAGTCCATCTGGCTGAGACACTCTCCCCAGGAGCCCACATGTACAGAGAGCTTCCATTTGCACCTTGCTCACTTTAACTCATCTCTCCCTTGGCCTGAGGTTCCAGTGCCCCCGGATCCTCCCATCCCTGGTGCAGGGAGGCACAGGGCAGGGGCAGAGCTGTTATCCTGGGGGCACAGCAGCCCTGCAGTGAGGGCAGGAGTTGTGGTGCACTGCTGAAATGTCCTTCCTGTCATCCTTATATATAAGAGAAATAAGGTTGCCTTTCTCAGATGTCACATCTTCATTCCGACTTTGTTTTAGAGCATCCACACTGAAGGAAATCTCTAAGAAGCAGTTCCCATAGATCACAGCATTTAGCTTGGATCCCAACAATCACAACAGATGTTCTTCAGCAGTAGCAAGCCACATGTTTTCTGAGATTGATTTCCAGAGGATGTTTTTCTTTCTCACACATTCATGGCTTTGTGTACGAATGCTTCTAGCAGTGACATCTCAGGGAAGTACCCAGTAGAATTCCCAGGGAGCAATCCCAAGGCTGGGCCTGGGTTTGATGCTTGCAGGAATCCAGACCCTCCCCAGCACTTCAAGCGAGGCCAGAGCTGAGCAGCCCGCAGCCCTGTGGGTGCTGCCCTGAGCCTTGGCTGCACTGTGGCACTTCTCAGGGACCCATTCGTTTTCCCTCTGCAGAGATGATGCTGTGCAAGCAGCACATGTAAGTCAGTGGTTTTAACCAAAAGCGAGAGAGAAGCACCACGGCTTTTTGGTCTGATGGTTACCTGGGGCTCCTTCCCTGTTCATGGAGAAAGTTTGCTTTCCAGAAGTCCCAAAGGGATTTTATTGTAATGCTGATACCCACTAAGCACTCAGAGCTGCTGTGCTGTTACCTCCAGCAATGTGTCAATTACTCACCATTCTCCAGCTGATGTTTCTTCTTAGCTGATGTGTGCCAATGACTGTTCCTCTCTTTAGCCCACGGCTCAGGATTTTCTATATATTCCTCTTCCTGAATCCTCACAATATTCATGAGTTTCTAATCCCTATCAAATTCCATTTCTGTTTTTAATGACTGCATCACTTCAACCAGTTACCTCATACAACAAAATAAGGGAATTAGCAGTAGAAAATTGTAAGAGGTCATGCAGAAGTCTCCTCGCCAATGCATGGCTGTTCCCTGGAGTCCATTTGCTAGAAAGCTTTAAAACAGATTCAGATTAAATGAATTTTTAGACATGTGCTCCTTAAATACATGCTGAGAGCTCAATGTGTGAATCACAGGTGTATTACAACAGTGACACAGAATAATCTTAATGTGAAGGTCTGTATTTCTTCCTCACTACTTGGAAAATCCTTCCTGAATTTGAGGAATTTTCGAGCTGCTTGGAGAGCAAAATGCAGTGTAATCCCCAATGTAATTAATTCCCAGTGTAACTCCAGGTCTGTGCTCAGTGAATAGGGAGCCACAGAAGGCATGCTCAAACTTGATTTCATTCTACATCCTGGTGAATTGCACCTCCTGTTCTCAGTTTTCTTTTGAAACACAGTTTTTATATGGATGACTTGTAAGATACATTGCAATGCAGTTGCAGACATGGCTGGGAGGCCTTACCTTCACACTGGGTTGGGAATTCCAGGGAACACAAAGATGAACAGGCAGTCCCACGTCCATTCCAGTGCTCTGTATTCTCACACAATACCACTTCCCCCGAAACTGCACAGAACTGATGGTTTAATTTCCTTCCCAGAACACTCATCATGCGAGATGAATAGAAAGTGTAGTAATGCTTTAAATTTTGTTTACTTTCATCACCCTGTTTTGACTCGAAATACTTTTATCACAAAAATAAGGCAACCTGCAGCAGTTTGTGCCGGGGTGAAACACGATGCTCCTTGTTAACATCCCTGCATTAATTGGTGACTCAGAAGGCTGAGCCGTCTGAGAAGTGCCTGCTGGTGAAGGCTATTAGTGTCTCTTCAGGCAGGATGGGGAGGGAGCAGCGCGGTCCCCGAGGGCCCAATATCTCCCTGCTTTCTTTAAAGAGTAGTGAACGACAGGATGACAAGGCCATTATACGATTTGGTAGTGATTGCAAAACTAATTGCCTGCAAATTAGATTAATATGTTTAAAAACACGTCGAGCAACCGCGCAGGGAACCTGCGATGTGTTTTGTGCCTGTTGAGAAAACACGCAGCAGACTGACAGCCGTTCTGCACAGCAGCTCTTGCTGCTGTTTGCAGGGGGGTAATAGGCTGCTTCTCCAGGCACGGTCCCACACGCAGCCTTGGCATTGTGGCCTTATTCACCACCTCCTTCAGAGGTTGAAACCCAGCAGAGCCAGGGCTGGAAAGCAGCAGGAGCGACCAGGCACAGACCTGCTCAGTGATGTGCCTGAATGGCAGCATCTTGCAAAGATTGCACATAACAGCTCTAATGCAGAAAACCACTTAGTGTGATAGCCCTTCCTGGAGCCCGGGAACATTCATGTCCATTTTTGCTTATTTAACTCTTTAGAAATATTGTGTCACTAAATTATAATGCTTCTAACACCTCTTTTTTCCCTTCCAGCTTTTGTCTCGATCAGCCACAGTTAAAGCATCAAACAGAGCCGGGCATAATTCACTGGAGATGTCAATGGGGATTCCTATGAGATGATTTTACTTTGGTAAAAGTGTGTCTTAGCAATAACAGCCCATCATCAGCCATTACCATGTTATTGATAGGAAACCACTGAGTATTTTGTAAAGTGAGCTGAAGTTCAGTTCATCGCTGACTGTTTCTTTTCAGGTGCAGGAGAGCGTGCCTCCAAACAGTGGTCAGCGTGCAGCCTGCGCCTCTCCACACACATCAGCACTGCAGTGTCCAGGCATCGCTGAGGCCATTACTGCTCTCAGTGTCTTTTTGATCATCCCCTCTTCTGCTCACTGATTTCTCCCTTGTGTAATCCTGTGTTATTTTTTTTTTTTTCTTTAATTCTTTTTCAATCATTACCCCTGGAGGTAGGCATGTCCTGCTCCTCAGAACACATCCTTTGCCCTACCATACACTGCATCGTTGGCAGCCCCTCCCTCTGTCCTTCAGGCTCTCTATCTCTGGGACACCCATTTAGGTCCCTTACAGCTCAAAGCACTGAACTTCCTTTTCAGGTGTATCTTTTGTTATCTGAAGGAATGAATTGTAGAGAAGTTTCACCTCCCATCAGCATTGCCTACTCTTTCAGCTTCCACATGAAGCATTGCATACTTTTCTTCCAAATATTATGGCAACAGGATTTTGCTACATCTAAATTATTAAATTGTAGCAATCAAACTCCTTTTGTCGCTCCTTCCTTGGTGGCTGGCAAGGGGTGTGTTAGTACTTAGGCCCATTTATGGAAGGGAACCAAGTGGACTATTGCTGCACACTGGGGAGTGCTTCTGCACTTTCCATCCTTTTCCAGTTCCTTGTATTCACTTGGTGACTAATAAAGGATGTGCACACTTCATCATGTGCAATATTACTGCAAAAATGATCTGGGGCTGTAGTGGAAATGCTAAGTCATGGCCTGAAGCAGTGATGGAGCACCTGGTGGAAAGGCAGGGCCAGCCCAGGGGAGCTCAGGTGCATGCAATGTACTGAGTGATGGAAGGGCTGGAGCCAGGATCCTCCCCTTCCCAGACCTCATATAAGGTTGGTAGTGGAGGTGAGGGCATTTCTCTTTCTGGTTTTCCCTGCCTATGTGAGACCTTCTAAAGGTAAGCAGCTCTTTTCCTTCTCTTTGGTGGTTGCTGCATTTGGGCTTGTTCTCATTTGCTTTTGCTGGACTTTGCCTCCCTGCTATTATCTCTGTGCTTTCCCTCCCATTGCAGCATTACTAGGGCATGTTTTTAGGAAGCTTTGGGGCTGCTTTGCTCTGTCAGAGGCACTTTTCCAAGAAATGATCAAATTTCATTCACAAATGAGTTTCCAGTAGAAAACTGTTCCAGGAACCCAGCTACTAGGAACTGTTAAAAACCTCCATGTATAACCCAGTGTGTTCACAGGTGCTGCATCTTCTTTATTCTGGTGCCAAAATTAACCTTAACAGCCCTGTTTCTACCAGAGGAGATTGTGAAGTAACTTGTAGTACTCCTGTGTTTTTTGGAAAAAAGATAATTCCTTGTGATTCTAACAGAAGTAAATGCATTTTTATAGGTAATCCTGAATGCAGAACCTGGGCTTTCCTCTGCTTCTTGAACGCCAGTGCCTACAGAAGCCCATCCCCCAGTGCCCAGCACTGCTGTGTTCTGATTTCAGGTGGAACAGTGCTGAGCAAAGTTCTGGACCAGAAGCTGAGGGCTTCAATTCTGACTGCCATCACTGTGTGCCCTCCAACTGATAGGACAGTTGTTGCTTGCACACACCTGAGCAGAACAAAGAGTAGTGACTGTGCACTCCTGGCTGTGTAAGGAAACACTAAAAGTTCCCAACGGAAAATGAGCAGGGAGAACAGGAGGATGGGGTCCTCTTGCTTTGTCAGCTGGAACAAATGTCTGCCAGGATCCTGAGCAGCCTGCAGCGAGCAGTGCGACCCAAAGCTCAGAGAACCAGAGGAAAAGGTGGGGAAGAACTGAAGGCGGCACCGTTTGTTGGGGATGCTGATTCTGGGCACTGAAATAGGCTCTGCATTGAGGCTGCCTTGCATTCACTGTTAGCAGCAGATCTCCAGCTGATTTTTTTTTTTTTTTTTTAACAAAAGGACAAATTCTGTTCTTCCATCCTGCAATTCTAATTGCTGCTGTTTGCCCCTGGCTGACTCCCTGCTCCATACGTTTTAATGCTTGAGAATTTTGGAGTGGGAATTAACACTTTGGAGGGAGTCCTAGAGTCAGAGACACAAACCTGCTGCTGGAATGGAGTTCTGTGGGGATAACAGAGGATGGCGAAGCGATTACTAAAAGCTCATTGAAATTGTTTCAAGGTTTGATGGTGCTTAGAACAAATTAGGACCACGGAAGCGGTGTAAAGGGGAGGGGTTAGCAGAGAGCCATGCATCTGACAGCCCCATTCCTGCTCCCACTGCTGTGGATGCACCCCTCGTCTGCTGTCACACAGCATGCTGCCGATGCAGGCAGCTCCCCTGCTCCCCAGACCGTCTTCCTCCAGGCAGTGAGAGGTTTTAAAGTGAGAGATGTTCTTCTCTGAAAGCTGTAATTTGGTGAAAAATAGCAGAAAATTGTAGGCTTCTTAATTTTCTTGTTTTCAATTATTCCATTACGTTGTTGTTCCATGTATGCGTAAGGACAAGAAGGTTGGTGTTCCTAACTGGTAATGACACCTTCCAAACTGGTTAAAATGCTTCTCCCCGTCTTTTGGTTGACCAGCCCCTGGATGGGAAATTGCCTCTTAAGAATTGAGACATTTGATAATTCTAAGAAAAGAGAAGCGGTCACACCCAGGGTTCATCAAAGGCCCATCTACATCAAAACTGTTTTCATTTGGCAAGAAAAAAAAATCAATCAACCAACCCAACCAACTAAAGAAAGAGTTAGAGAAAACAAACACCCGGAGCCTCCCAGCATGGCCCTGAGTGCTGCTCCTGATTTTGGATGACAGCCTGCAGAATGATAGCAGCAGCACCCCCACCACGGCACTGTGAGAGCCATGTTCCCACCTCTGACGTTCTCAGCCCTTCTGTCTGCACCATGGCAGCCATCACAGCACGAGCTCACAGCGCATCGTGGCGCTGGGGTGTCTGTTGGGAGGCTCCTGGGGAAGCACATCCTTTCTCACGTGTGCTATCCATCCTCATCTGTGTTCCCACATGGGCTGCTTTGGACTCTCTGCTCTGTTGCATAGGCATGTCTGAGTAAAAGCAGTTTAAAACTTCACAAACCTGGGGGAGCATGGGAGCAGCAGACAAAAGCAGAGCAGTTGGGATGGAAGTTGCACCATCATGGCTATCAGACTGCTCTCTTCTAACTCATCTTCCTGCCTCTGTTTTGGTAGAAGTCTCTGCTCAAAAGCTCTTTTGCTGCAGCACTACCAAAACACTCCTTGTTTACTACGGCAGGTCTGTGCAGCTGCAGGTGGTGGGGGAGCATGGACACATTGCATGAGAGGCTGCAGCTTTGCTGCCTTTTTTTTATGAACAAATCCTTAAACTTATGAAAAAAATAAAAATCCTCTTGTGCATTGTTCTGATGCTTCACCATTTGTTTCCTCAGCTACAGCAGAAGCACTTCTCTCTTCCCAAACAACAGCTGTTTTGCAACGGGTTGCTTGTGTAGAAGATGCTATAACACAGTCCTTACTACTCACTGCATGCCTACCTGTCACCTGACACACATTTATAGCCTATCTGTACTTGTCATAGATGGGAAGTCTGTAGCTCTAATTCTTTCTCAGCTGCTTGTTTTTCTCAGCTGTGACAGATCTTCATCTGCTTTTGTGTTGTTGTTGCTGATTTTTTTTAACTCAAACTTTATAAGCCACTAAATTGGCACATTCCTGTGTTATGATTTAATTCTCAGTGTCAGGGCTGTCACCTTTATAAATATTTCTCATCAGTTTTATGGATCAGTGCATCAGCAGATTATTAGGAAGAAAAAGAAAAGAGAAGTAAATTGTTTTAGGATGCCTTATTGAGCAGCACTGCTGGGGCGGTGGTTGCAGTACTGCTAGGAGGCTGCCCAGCCAGGGCAGCAGAACACAGCCCTCAAGGGTGCACCTGAAAGTGGGTGGCGTAAATGTCTGAAGTCTACAAGTTCCAGGAGTCTGGAACTGGGAAAGGAGCACCGGATGGAGATGTAGGTGTCCCTGCTCGATGTGGGGGGTGGGAAGGGGATTGGATCAGGGGGCCTCTAAAGGTCCCTTCCAACTCAAACCATTCTGTGATTCTATGAAATCCTACAGGAGCAGTGAAGCTGGAATGGGACAGGCACAGAACAAGCACATCCCAGCCAGTGCCAGGCAGAGCTCTGTGAGCTGGGATGTGGCAGGCAGCAGCCTGGGCCTCAGCAATGGGATGCTGCATGGGAACCCATCCTGGGTGAACCCAGGACACCCAAAGACTTGGGATGGGGACAGCTCTCAGCCTGCAGCTCAGAGCTCTCTCTGAACCTGCGGCAGGATAGGAAATAACAAAACCAACAAACCCATGGCAAAAACACATCCCAAGGAGTGGAGCATCCCAGCGCACAGATATCCATCCACACTGGGGACTCTGGGGCTTGGCAGCTCTTGCTGACCATCAGTGATACAGCTGATGTGCTTGTTCCGATAGCATCTCTGAAAGTGAAATGTTCTTGGAAATGGTAAATAAAACTTCATTATCATGACAGATAGTGCAATAAAGTGTAACAACAGTTTGTTTATTAGATTCGTAGGTGGTAAAATGAGGGTCATCCATTCAAATCTGTTTTGATAGGTACTGGGCCCCAAGCCGGCTCCATTTTAGCACTCTGGTGCAGCAGTGATGAAAGCTGATTGAGATTTGGAAGAGCTGAGTATGTTTTGCTTTTTATGAAGCCCTACCAGCTGAGTTCATGATAACTGCACACAGAGCAGCACTCAAACTCTAAATGCACAGTGAGCCCAGGAGATGGATAAATGCAGAGAGAGAGCCTGACCTTATAGCAGCACTGGTGGGCAAAGGACGCTGCTTTAAGAATCCTAGAATGGCCTGGGTTGCAAAGGCCCACAGTGCTCATCCAGTTCCAACCCCCTGCTGTGTGCAGGTCGCCAACCAGCAGCCCAGGCTGCCCAGAGCCACATCCAGCCTGGCCTTGGATGCCTGCAGGGATGGGGCATCCACAGCCTCCTTGGGCAACCTGTGCCAGTGTGTGAAGAAGGCAATTTAGGGAAAACAATCAGATCTCAATGTTACACAGCTTCCTACTTACAGAAAGGCTCTTTTGGATAAGGTCAGGAAAGCTCCATCCTCCAGGAGCAGGGGTGGGAGGTCAGGACCAGCACGGCCCCTCGGTGCCTTCAGACCCCAATTTCTCCTTCCTGCTGCGTACTGGAGGTGCACACCTGTCAGCCTGCAGCTCCCTGCTCTGAGATTGGTGCACTGTAAATCTTCCTGCAGGAGAACAACCTCAGAGCAGCAGAAGTCCCAGCCTGGGGTTGGATGAGCACGGGAGGCCCTGCAGCACTCACTGCCCTGCTTGGGACTCCAAAGCAGCACAGGACATCGAGCCAACCCTCCTTGTCGTGAAAATTCTCTAGAAGCTGTTATCTGAAATGGCATTTGGCATTTTTTATATCTTAGGCATTTGTAGTTTGTGGAAGGAGCCACCATTTGGTTAATTATGTGTATACTCCTAGTTGTGCCTGAGGAAAATACCAAGAACAATTGAAATAAAATTACTGTAATTTTAAATCAAAAAGTTCCCTATGTTTGAAATGATTAAAAATCCCCACGTAAATACCATCGGGTTTTTGATTCATTTTTCCATGAGATTTTAGTTAAAATATTTTCTCTGGAAGGAGAGGTTGGTAACAGCACCGGGAAATGGAACATCAGGGTTTAACGCTGAGGCAATAAATCAACATCTAAAAAAGGTGAAGGGTTGCACATTATGAAAACATTTCCACAGATAATTACAAGTTAGAGGCGTGTGTTGATTGAGTGGGAAATCTTAGCGGATTGACAAGGCTGGATTCACAATGAAGGTAATCAGGTAAAGCACTGCTCGGTGATTTTAGAAGAATAAGTCTGTTGAACACCCAAAATAATTACCGCAGTGTTTCTGCAGAGTGGTACAATATACCCAGAGTTAACCAACAAATCTTCCTCCAAATCGAGTACATGTGCAAAAGCAGCCAATGACAGAGATGTATCAAGCTGTCACTCACCACCACCTTCTGCTTCAGGATGGCCTGTGCCAAGATCCACAGCTCTCAGACTGAAATTGGAGGATGATGTGCAGTGTTTCTCATAAATCTGGATGTACCAGCCCAGGCTCTGGCTCCATATGTCCATTTGCAATGAAATCATTGAGCCAAGGACATGCCTGGGAGGAAAGAATTCAACCCTTGAAGTTTTGGAACATGTTTTTCTGGTGGGAAGAATCTGTTTGATTGCAGCTATAACCTGCTGTTTATGACTGTATATTGCCAGTGTTCAACGTGCGAGTACAAGAGATAGGAAAACGTGGCAGCAGAGTGAATCATCTAAAGAAAGCCCCGTATTCTTCTCTTCTGATTTCAAGGCTGCATTGCAGAGAGATGAAATCAGTACTGGAGAGCCCAGACCTCCTAATGATGTACACGGAGTGGATGTGTGCTAATCCATCGCAGCCCACCTCCTGCTAACAGGATTTGCAGCAGCCTGAAGCAGGTATAATTCGGTTATCGCTCAGTCTAACGCGGCCGGCCGAGCACAAACACAGTTGTTAGCAGCAGGTATGCTTTAATTCTGCAGTGTGCAAACTGCTTTAATGACTTCCCTCTTCTCTCGGGTTTGTCCACCTTCCAGGATGAGGAATTTCCACTGCCTGGTTTGCATTGCCAGTGCTCAGGTTTCAATCTAGAAAAAGGAAATAAAGAGCTCTGGAGTCCCACACAAAAGATAATTACATCTCTCTCTCAGTAAACCAAGATCCCTCCCTTCATTGCTGCAATACAGAGCAGCAGTATCTTTAATCCCACTCTTTACATTGCCCTTTAATCCTATTAAATCCCATTTAATAAGTGTTTCTGTTAATGTCACGATCCTGAAGCGACTGGAACGAAGGTGATCTTTTGGCTCTTTCCCAAACTTAGGTAGCCTAGGAAGAGCTCAGGAAGCCACATTTAAAACACAACGGATTGCTGGCAAGCCATTGCAGTCATCTCATTAAGTCTGAGTAAATAGGAGAATTTAATATTAATTTCATTTTCATATATCTAAATTAGAAAGCAGCAGAGAAGAAAACAACATAATCTGATTAAACAAATTAAAACCACACTGCTAACACTGCCCTTTGGTATTTATTTACTTTTAACCGCAGTAGCTTAAAACATCCCAGCAAATCAGCTCCCAGCTGTAGCTCCATCTCAGCACCCATTGCAGGGCTGCCCCATGCCCCCAGCAGACCCCAGCTGTGGGATGTACACAGATCCCTTCACATCCAAAACATCAGTAACCACCTGCTTCCAGCTGCTCTCTGCAGTCCTCCACCCCCAGCTGAGCCATGGTTTCCACAGCCACCTCCATCCCTTGGGATGATCCTGGACCTGGCTGTGGGCATCCAGCACAGAACATAAAGCACTCCCACGGGCGGCCGTGAGCTCATTAGGGACCTCGTTATCAGCAGGGCCTTCCTGCTGCTCGCTGTGTCTGAAGCTTGCCTGCTGGATGGGGGAGCAGCAGCGACGACTTCCCTGCACCTACCCCAGTGCAAAACCTGTGACAAGGCCCTGATTATTAAGCCCCCAGTACAAGAAAGACAGGGAACTGTTGGAGAGGGTCCGGAGGAGGGCCACGAAGATGATCAGGGAACTGGAGCACCACCCCTACAAAGACAGGCTGAGGGAGCTGAGCTTGTTCAGCCTGGAGAAAAGAAGGCTGCGGGGTGAGTCATTGCAGCTTTTCAGTACCTAAAGGGAGCCTGCAAACAGGAGGGGAGTCAGCTCTTTGAAAAGGTGAGTGACAGCAGGACAAGGGGAAATGGTTTTAAGCTGAGGGAAGGGAGATTTAGGTTGGACGTCAGGGTGAAATTCTTTACAGAGAGAGTGGTGAGGTGCTGGAACAGCTGCCCAGGGAGGTTGTGGATGCCCTGTCCATCCCTGGAGGTGTTCAAGGCCAGGTTGGATGGGGCGCTGGGCAGCCTGGTCTAGCATTAGGTGGGGAGGTTGGTGGCCCTGCATGTGGTAAAGGGGTTGGAGATTCATCATCCTTGAGGTCCCTTCCAACCCTGACAATTCTGTGATTCTGTGATTAATGCCTGCACCACTGCTTGCACAGAAGGCAGAGGGCACAGGAAGGGCACTGCTATTACAAACTTACTACAGCACTGATCTCCAAGGTCTGAGGGACGAGGGTGGGAACTGCATCAGCATCTCCGCAGCTTCCATGCTTCCAGTGTCTCCGTGCTATTGTAGTATTTCCACAGCACGTGTGCGCAGTTCCGGCACTGCAGCGCAGGGGGGGGGGGGGGCAGCCGCTGACCCCTGCTGGATGGAGGAAGGGGCAGCGCTTCGGCTTCCCCTTTAGGAGCAGCATTCTAGTGATTCATCTCATGCTTAATTTGCATGAATGTCTCTGGGCTTTCCTTGCCTGGTGTCTTCAGAGACTCAGCTTTCCTCTGGGATCTGCTGCACAGAATGCTGCGCTGTTCCCACAGG